CAAATGCCTTTTCTGCATCAATTGATATGATCATGTGGTTCTTCTCCTTTGTTTTATTTATGTGGTGGATGACATTGATTGTTTTTCTAATGTTGAACCTTGCCTGCATCCCTGGTATGAACCCCCAATAGTATTCTTGATAATTATTTTAGGTGAGGAAATTTTCTGAGTCCTTTACATCTCTAGTACATAGATAGCATAATACCATGCATACATTATAATAAAACTTATAACTAAGTTATGATCATCATCCAAGTACTATTTTAAGCACTTTAGATACATGAACTTATTTAATTCTCACAACAACTTTACAATAGGTGGTATTGCTATCTCCATTTTACAAATGAGGAAATTGAGACATGGAGAGAGTAAGTACAAGTACCTGCGAACAGGTAGTTAGTGAGTATCAGTGTCAGTGCTAGGGTTCAAATCCAAGCACACTTAGTCCAGTTTGTACTCTGTCAAGGTATGTACCTCTGTACTGTAGATATTTCGTAATTGTTAGTTGAATGGATTAACCCATTTTTAATATATAGATTAGATTTTCTTTTGTATAAAGCTTGGTCTAACAAATTACCAGTTTGTTTGGGGTTTTTGTGTATGTGTGTGGTTTATTTTACCCTTTTTCCTTTCTGTCCTGACATTAGCAGATAGTTTTCCCGCTTGATGCAGCCAGCTTAGGCAAAATGAAGGCAGAATGAATCAAGCAGTGAAGTCATCTCTTCATAATAGATACCTGATATTTGAAAACAGATGAAAGAACATAGAAATTGTCTCTAGTGGTCATTTGGCTAATCCATAACCATGGGCCATATGACTAGCTAACTAGCAAGGGATATTTAAGAGAAGTGTTTTTTTTGTTTTGTTTTGTTTTTTAATCTCAAGTTGTACATGAATGATGTTTGCTGATGTTTATTAGGTTTGGATTTTACAAGGTAGACTCAGGAGGGTTCTCTTTAGATACTAGGCCTGAAATTTCATTCACCTATTGCTGGGTAGGTGATGGTAGCCATTTAACTAATGAAAGCTTTGTATTTTAACATGTTTTATTTTACTTTGTTTAATAAAGACAAAAGGACAGTATTTCTAGCTGTCTTGATTCACCTGCGTAGTGATTTTTGCCAGTGTCTGAACACTTGAAAACATTGGCAAATACAGTGTCAGCACTTCAACCCATAGGAATCTATTTGTTTTCTTTTTAAACTTTTTTATTGTGATTTGGGTGAAATTTTACAAAGCAGATTCATTTTATATTTAACAGTTCATATACACATTTTGTTTTGTGATACTGGTTACATTCTCCATAGTATAACATCTCACCTTCCACTTCCTCCCTGTGTCCTTCTTGCCTATATATTTGTGTCTCCCTACATTTCTTCCTGTGCAAATGTAGCCCTTCTAAAATGTAACATAGTTGATTGTTCTAAGGAGCGCATCTCCCTGGTACAGGTGTTTAGCTTGTAGTTTTTTCTGTTGTTTGGCTGAGAGTTAAGCCACAGGAGTGAGATCAATTCCAGGTCTGAAGGGTGAGCAGGTCTTCAGCCTTGAGGGTTTCACTAGTCTCTATCAGACTAGTAACCCTGGTCTTTTTTATGATTTTGAGATTTGTTCCACATTCTTCTCCCACTCTATACAGAATCTCTAGTTTTGATCCCTTTCCGAGTTAACCCATAGAAATCTAGTTTGATGTGCTCTGCGGCAGAGTATTAGTTCAGAAAAAGATTGCTTGTAATATAGTTATAACTGCTTATTCTGTCATTATCCACATATTGCATAAAGTGTATTTAAGTAAGATGTATATCAGATGGTCAACATTGATTTACTACATTGTGAGATTATGAATAATGTTTACTTTTTATTTTATACTTTCTGAATTTTATATAATGAGCATGCTCTTATAATGAGAAAAAGACCTTTCGTATAAAAAAACATACGGCTGAAAGATAAAATGTAGCTCTTGGGACAAAGATTGATAGTGGGATCTAAGATTCACATCAAGAATTTGTTCTAGAGTTTGGTTCCATGTTTTTCTCCCATTCTATCCAGGACCTTCTATATGATCCCTTTCAGAGCAGTCCATAGTGATTGCTGGATACTATCTAGTTCTTTTGGTCTCAGGATTGAGGAGGCTGTGATGTGGCAGAATGTTGTTGTTGTTATGTGCCGTCGAGTCGGCCCCGACTCATAGCGACCCCTCCTTGGGTTTCCGAGGCAGTATCACTACGGAAGTAGGATTGCCCAACC